AAGCCAAATGTAATATTACTTTTAATTTCACAGGCCTATTTCGTATGAATAGATTTTTGAATAGAACAGGGGGGTACTGTTTATGCTACATGCAGAAAGATGAGATTTTTGACCAATCGTCATTACTCAGGTTTAGTACCTCTTTGCATTTACTGCTTCCTGCAGAGTCCTGTTCTTACTTTGAAAAATTCCCTGCATGAATCAAAATGATGGATCTTCCATGCTGTTAAGCTTGCTGTATCTTGCAGTAGCCACTATAACTCATATTCCCCTTTTTGCAGCTATTGGGTGAGTGGAGCTAATGCAGGAAAAAAAGAAGTTTTTGTGGACAACCTGCCTGGGTATCCAGACAACATCAGATTATCAAACAGAGGCTTATACAGAGTTGGAATATCTACTACTCGCTTTCCTGGTTTCTTTTCTCCTTTTCTGGATGCTTTAGGACCGTATCCATTCCTGAAGAGATTTATTGCAAAGGTAACTTTGACAGTGTGCAGTATTAACTATCAGTGTCACAAAAATGTTGATTTTTTTTTTTTTAAGTATGAAAGAACTTGTTATTCTTTATTAGGAAGCACAAGAGACTACTGCTTCATCTTTATCAGCCAGCATCCCAACACGTACTAACTTTGATATTTCTGGAACATTTAAGGACTGGTTTCTTTTTTACATATTAAAACAGAGCAGTTTTACTGTTTTGGTATTACTGAGAACCCATTTATAAAGTAGGAAGATCAGTACTGACAAAAGTAGTCAATAGTTGCAAGCTCTCAGCCCTTTGGATATAGCAACATGATATTGTCAAGGCAGGTGAAGAACCCTTCACACAAAATATGATGATTTTGCTATATGAATCCAACTCTACAAAGCCACTCTTGGCAAGCAAGAGTCATGGAGCTGGTTATGATTAACCGTGCTACTTTTTCTAGGAACCATGCTGCCTTTGCCCTAGAACTTGCACAGGACAAACACTGAAGTGATTCAGTTGTGTTTCATCAAGTCCCTCTTATTCCTGTTTTTACAAAATGGGTGGCTTTTGGCAGCTGGAATAAGTTCAAACAACATCCAAACCTTCTTGAGCAAGCAGGCACTGACTGTACTTTAAGATTAGTGAGCGATTATTGGAGTGCCAGCTTTAGACACAGTCCAGTGAGCATTATCAAAAGGTTAAGTGACATCTGAATCTGACTAGAGCAACAGCTGGAATGCAATAGATTAGCATTGCCGTTTCTTTGTAGTCACACAGTTCCCTCCTCCCTCAAATCAAGTGTTAACACTGTGTATTTCTTTTTCTAAAACAGGTGACCCCTTTATCATTCTACAGTATTTTTCTTCGCAAACACGGCTTGTTCTTAGAAGTTAACGACAAAGGAGACATTGTGGCAAGCTTCCACGACCCTGATGGTACCCTCACTTGGGCTGTCAGTGATGTCTTTGAGCACAATGGGAAGGTGTATCTAGGTAATACAGACCTGCCTTTTCTTGTGGTGCTACAGTAAACTTTCAAGCTTTTGTAAGCTGGAACATCAAAAGAAAGTCAGCAGTGTTGGTTCAAGCAGCTGCTAAGTATTTTTCTCTACTTCAATGGAGACTGCTGCATCACTGAAGGAGAAATGAAACCGATACCACATGGTTAAGCAGAAATGAAAACACAATGCAGAAACACTTGTTTTAGAAGCTTGTGAAAGCCTCAGAATTAAATAGGTTAAAGGTACCAAATCACTTTGCTCTATAGTTCAGAAAATCGTCGTGAATGTATTTTTAAAGAGTTGCACTGAACTCATCTAAGGAATGCAACTCTGTAACAGGGATTGAGGTAAGTAGCAGACATCTTACTGTTGCTCACAGTTCCCATTTTGGAAAAAGCCTTATGTAAGATTTTATTCTTCCTCTTTCCCAGAGGCAGAACATACTGCTCTTAATCACGAACAGCAGTTTCTCCATTGTCTCTTTTGTTAAAGTTTTCCATCTATTCCACTACATCAGTTTCCAAGGAAATATGAGCAAGTACAGCTTGCATTTAAATTTGTTCTGTCACCTCATTAGTGTTTCTTCCTGGTGCAAAGTACTCAGGTGTTGTCTTGCTAGATGCTGTACCTAAGGTTGCCTGTGACCACATAAAAGGTCACTAGTGGCCACTGTTAGGTAGCAGAGCAGTAAGTAGAGAACAGGCTTATGAATTAGAAATTCAGTCTTTAGAACTGTGACACAGTTTGATCCTTGGGAGAGGTTTAACTGAAGTTCAGTAACAGAGAGAGAGGAAGTTTGATAGGCAGTTTATTTTTTCTTTCCCAAAAGTGCAGCAGTGAACAGGGTCCTCTGGAAGGGCACTTTCTAAACAAATGTTCAAAACAGCAGACGTTAAGCATGCTCACATACAGAGAGAGAGTAATACAAATAAAATTGATTTAATTGAATCACAATAAATGACAGCTGTTTCATTATGATGAAATACTGTATTTAGCTTGTAGAATCAGTCTTAAATTTAACTTAATTGAAAAAGTGGTATACCTGCTTTGGGTGTGTGTGTTTGCATGTATGTGTCCCTGTTACAGCTTTACTCTTTAAAATGAAGCAGCCCAGGTTACTGGGCAAGCATGTACTAGCTGTATTCACTTGTGCTGAAGTGATGATACTGAATGTTTTCTGGTTTAGAATAATGTAATAAAGTTGTTAACTGTGTTTCTCCTCGTATAGTATCTACTTTATCACCAGATCAGATCACTAAAATTCACAGCTCTGCTTTTGATAATAATTTTTTTAAAAAATGACTAAAAAAAAATAATCACATTTTACCTAAACCCAGCTCTCTACTGGTAAGGCCCTTTCATTTAACATGAATGGTATAGATAGAATTATGGTCAAACAGCATATGAAAAAGAATATCCAGGGAGACCATTTAGGTTTAATATCACTTAGTTGGGAATTAGATCTGGATAAGAGTCAAAGTTCTTTCATAGTATTTTTTTAATCATCAAGGATAGGAATTAACACTGCTCATTCAAAGCTGTCAAAATACTGCTTCATGGAAATATAGACATCAGACAAGTCACAATTCCTCTAAAAGTACTGGAAGGCAGGCAGCTCTTGGCTCGTGTTCTTGCTTCTACCACATGCTTTCGATGAATGGTTCTTAAGTCATTATCAAAAGTGGGAGTGAAGCAGATATTTTCTGGATTTGCCATTCTCTTTTTGGTTAAGTAAGGACTGGCTCATTTCATTCTGAATTTCAATTTAATACAACATTTACTACCTATGGCAGATTTCAGGTATTGTGTGGTTCTCTGACAGTGAGTGTGTTAAGTTACTGAGCCTAGTTACAGACAAAATGCTTTACAGGTATGTGCAGATAGCAAGAGTGTTGGGTAAAACATCTGGTCACATACTGAACAAGCTGTATCAGTTCTATCAACTTTCATGTTAGTTATTAGGCAAAAAGTAAATAATTCAAAAGAAAATTTCTTTGTTATGGCTTAAGATCACTTTAAGAAAAGATAATACTAGAGAGTTACATCAGTACCCATAACAAAGTTTTTTCTATTAAGCAGCAACATAATGCACATTACTTGCACTGAAACTTAAGTAGAAACCTGACATATGACCTAGATTTGACAGAACAGTTGAGGGTTTAATGTGCAGCAATCAGTGTATTTCACCCTAGCCTCCACACAGCTACCAAAATAAAGTTTAAACAAAGAACAAGTTGCTAGAATTATCTGAGCAAAACACTACATAAATGAACTTTAGGTTTATCTCAGTGTGCAACAAAATGCTTGAGAGCATGAAAACAACTTTGGTTTTGTTTTTGAAGACAGAGTCTGAAGGATATTGATGGGCAATACTAAGGCTTGAGAAACAAAGAACAGGATAAAGCTACAGTTGTAGTGGAGGAAAAAAAAAAAGTCCTGAGTATTTGAAAGCACGTAAGTAGTCCGAGTATCCAAAAACCTCTGCATTATACAGGTGCTCCAGCTGAAAAGACACCTTTCAAGCAATTTTGTCTCCAGATATTTGGTCACTCTAGAGATTTGAAATAATTGGTTAGATGTGAGACAAAAGCTCTATAAAATCTAACATGCAGACCACCACAGAAGTTTCCAACTCTAAGCTACATGAAGAACAGCTCTTTGCTTCAGATTTAAAAGCAAAGAAAGTTCAACTTATCTTACTGTAGCTTTGCTTGTATCCAGTTTGTGGATCTGTGTACCAGGGTATGGACCTTCACAGTTTTGAGAGAGTCATGGTTTGTTGCCTACTTAATGATTACTTAGGAGAAGGTTTTATGTGACAGAAGTTGTAATCATCATGCTCTCTATTTGGATAAAGGATCTGAAATAACTAACTAAAAAATAAATAGTTGTGCCAGAGTTTGTTTGCCAAGAGAGAGAGATTATCTTGCCTGATAACACAGCTGATTTGCCCACAAGCAACATGAACTTGTCCTGCAAAAGATACACAACTCAGTGTTTCTAGAAGGTGTTTTGCCAATGAATCAATACAGAAATTATATGCTAACACAAGTTTGTTTGTTTTCCAAGATTCAGAAAGATACGCAAGTTTGGGTGCAAGTGATAGCTGCATTTCAGACAAGCCTAATCAGAAGGCTGAAAGGACAACATCACCCTTCCAAAGTGAAACCAAGCGATAACATACTGCAGACATCTGACATCATTCCTTTGGTGTGAAGGCCACTTACTGCAGGTTGTGAGTAGTTATGTCTCAACCAAAGAGCACTACTCTATGAAGCACTTAAACTGCCTAAAATAGCCCTCTTAGCCTAACTTATGGTGAGCAATGATTTATTTATCTGTAGCTAGTTTGCTCTCTAAATAATTTACCTTCAAGAATCTAATCAACATAAGATGTTAAGACAATTCAAGACATTTGGAGGTTAAGAGATAAATCAGCGCTACTGTGGTGCCCTGGTGGGGGTTGTGGATATTTTTTTTAGTATTCTGCTTATGTATTAGAACAGACTTAAGAGTTATCTCAAAACACAGGCACGCTTATTTGAAAACTTTAAGTTAGTCTCAACACTCTCTTGTTTAACTCACTAGGAAGTCTATACTAAACCCTAAGAGTTTTCTCAGTAGTACGTAGTAACCCATTCCAGCATTACAAACTAGAAGTTGAAATTACGTTCTTGTTTGGAAGCTACCAAAGCTGTCCTACAAAATTCATTGGTCTCATCTGAAGTGGTCTTATTGAAAGAGAATATTTAGCATATGGATTTTAATTCTGCCCAAGACACTTGCTAGTCAGATCCTACAGTTTTGACTAATGCCTTCCTACGCTACTTTGGGCTAGCTTGCTATTGTCATTAACAGCTTTGAGCTAGATACAGGAAACCTGTAATTAAACATAACTTTTAAGAAAAGTCTATGACACTGAATATGGGTGAGCATTACTGTGCAATAGCACCTGCCTATCTAACCTGACTCAAATATGCATTTATTGATTTTTAGAACAAAATAAACTGTTCAGATTCATAGGCATAGGTTCACCTCTGTGCCTGTGATAAGAAAAGGTACTTGAAAGACAAAGATGGTAATCAACTATCTGAGCAAGACAGATTAGCTGTGTCTAATGATTTAGTTACAGTTCAAGCTGTAAAATATACATATTGCACAAGGCAACCAGCTAAAGACAAGGGGTTTTCTTCCAAACAGGGTTTGAATAGCCCATTAAAAGTCTTCCAGCTGTGATCAATGAGAGTTACCAAGACAGACCTGCTGCAGTCACTGGAGAAACTGGTCAGTGGGAGGCGATGGCAGGAGGCTCTTAAATGCCTTATAAGGACTGTGCAGAAAACCTCCGAGCCCGAACACCATGATTGCTGAACATGAGCCGTGGGTCAAACCTGTACCTATATAGGGAGGAACAGAGTCTGTGTGAGCTACAGTTAGCCCACAGTAACCAACACTTCTAGAAACAGCTTATTTCTACAACAGCTCTGGTACAAAGCTACATGAACAGTTGCTTTCTTGACAGTATGTAAGGATAATCTCTACATACTACAACAGATGAATTCTAACGACACAGATAAAGACCAGATAGTCTCCAAACAAATAAATGCTAGCTACAGCATACCAACAGCATATTGGTATGTACAACATTAAGCATTCAGGAGGTGCATTCTAACAGGATGCTTTGCTGCCTCAAAATACAAACTTGCATAGCACAACCATAAGGACATTTTAAACAGTGCTTTAAAAAAGCTTCAGTCCAAATGATTACTGACTGAATTTTGAGGTAAGAAGCGCTATTTACTTACAAGAGCTGACTAATAACATACAGCTTAGGTCCTGCAGGAAACGTTCTTCGCTAACAACATCTCCAGAAACAATCAGAGCAAGTATTTGGGAAATTCCTGCCTACAGAAACACGCAGAGCTTTTCCTTGTTTGCTGGGAAACCCGAGGTCACTTGGCTCTGACTACTCAGCAGAGCTGTAAGTATCAGCTATTCTAAGTCAACAATGGCTGACAAAATTAAAGTAGTAGTATTAATACCATCAAGTTATATTTGGTAGGTTAAATTAAAATAGAGATTAAACATTAAAAAAAACAGAAGCATCAAGAAAACATCTCTACTAGACAACACTATGTCAGTAATAGTATATTCCATAATAAATAGCCTCTGTAAAAGGTTAATTTAAAAAATATAGTTGTATTTAAAAATATTGTAATAATTAATTGAATCAGTGTTTACCCAGGATCGAAGACACCTGGTGTCCGGCAAGTTGCTCCTGAACAGGACTGCAGCATCATTAATCGATAATTCATCTTTTCTAGAATTTCTTGATCAATTGTTTTAGCAATGTTATTGATCTGGTGTGGATCTGCAGTCAAGTTATACACTTCCACAAACACCTGTAGAAGAAAGTTCCTGCACTGTATGAAGTCCTAAATGCTAGTTTACATTTAATCATGTTATTTGGGAAGAACACTTTATGGCAGCATATAGTCTCAGATGTTTCAATGACACTGCAGCACCCCACACATAAGCTATATTTAGCCACGTGGCTAAGTGGTCAAAGACAGGACAGTGTGTAGGTAAAGCTAAAGTTTTGTGATAGTACAGTATTGTTGGAAAAGGTTTTACTTCCACCTAAAATACTCATCTGCTGCACTGCAGATTTTTTTCTAACACATAAATGGAACCTGTCTTATGACTCTAAGTCCACAGCAAACGGCCATCGCTAAGCTGCCTGTCTTTTCATTAGTGGGTCTCAAAATACACAATTTCATGACCATCATAGCAACATTCTGTGCTCATCAGTTACTTCCAGCTCTCAGACTCAGACAGGTGTCTTGATTACATGTACAAACTATGTTGAATACAAGTATGCTACAACCCTAACACAAGAAAGTATTTTTTGCATGTGCATGCTTTGAGAAGGTTTGTCTGGAGGATTTTAAGGCAGAATTGGGTTTTTGGTACATTAAATCTCTAAACCATTCTGTGGGACAAATATTAGTCAGACATATCTCAATAATTCAGCTGTGGGTTTGTCTGTGCTAGAGTAAGAGGCATGATTACAGAGGATGTTGATGAAAACTGTCTGGGTTATGTCTATCTTAGATAAAGATGCATCTGGACAGACTTTGGTTGCAAGCTTTCTTGTAAGGTTCACTGCAAGGTTTTAAAAGCCACGTTGTTGCATCTTCCCTATACTGCTAGTCCTAATTTAGCTGACCCAGGTAAGCTGAGTGACCCAGAAACGTCCCAGCCATACTTACTGGAAAAAAACCAATATGACAAGAAGTGTATTACCTAATCAACTTTTGAGTCTATTTTTACAAAGAAAGCTGCAACGTTCATTTAACTTCATCATAAATTGCTAGAAAGTGGAAAAATGAAGGGCAGGGTCTACTAATCAGCATCTTGCTCTCCTGTACAGTCTTTCTTGCTGTCCTACTGCAGGGATTTGCTCCCCTGCTTTAAGTTGTTCATTACAGACTACCAGAAAATGTTTTATGCGGTGGCATAACAACTTGGGATACCTGCTGTTTATCCATCTATTGCGCATCTGCTGACAATGCAGTTTATTAGATTTGTGAGCCAGTTGCCTCAAACCCAACGTGCTCTCTGGAACAACTGTGTGCAAACGGGCACAAGGAAAGATCCACTCTGTACCACACCAAGTTTTGTGCATACAGCAGGTGCTCCACTAGTGAGATCTGAACAGTTTCAGAAGTGGGGACATAATGTTGCTTATATCCAAACAACTTACTTAAGATAAGGGTAGACACCTTTCTCACAGTTGTAACTTAAATACTTGTTTTGCCAAGCAAACAAGTGAGTGATAGAAAATAAATTACTAGCCTGGTATTTCAGTTCTTCCCAAGGAAAAGAGTTGCAACAGAAAATATTTGTTGTACAAAAGACTGCCACATGGAATTAGGGTAGGACAGAGAACCGAACCCAATCCCCAGCACAGCTCCCTGTGAGGCTGTTAGGTGATAATCATAGTTCAGGCTATTGTCCCTTCCTCACTTCCCTCCACTCCTTTTTTCTGTTTTCTTCCCAGAACCTCATCAAAGTTTTGGTCAAACATTCTCACCAGTACATAAATATTTCACTGTTTATCCTGCAAGCAATGCTAGTCTGCTTTTCAGAGTACTTTATGGAAACCTTGAGAGCAGGTAGGAGTGCAGTCGCTCGCACAGCTGTAAACAGTTCACATCTGCTAGTCAGACAGAGACTTACCTCCCGGTCATCAAATTCACAGTACTGTAGATCCCAGGAAGTTGACAGTGTCCTCACACAAGCATATGTGTTGTTATAGGAATCTTCACAGACACAGTCTGGGAAGCAGTGCTGTGAAGTCAGCAGTGAACAAGAACTTCAGAGCAGGAAAAAAAAAGATGAACTAGTAGTCCTTCTCCCAGAGTCTGCACCAGCTCAAGCCAACTGCAGTTAACTGATGAACACCAGGATCTCAGTCTAATACATGCAAGTCTCCACTGGGGACTTTAAGCAAAAACTCAGGTTTTCAACATTTGAGAAAGCATTGTTATTAAACTCGCCATGATTAAGTGCGCTTTGTCTGGGAATCTCATGTACATACACTGAAGAGAAGAGCACAATGCACACTACTAAAGACAACACCAATGGGATGCTTTACTTAAAGCAAATCTTCTCTGTTACAGGAAGTAGCTAGTGACTTAAATAATAGTTACAGATAAGAATTGTGCAGTGAAGTCACTGAAGTTTAGAAGTAACATAATGTTGCTGCCACCCACTTTACCAAGCCCACGCCTTCCTGCGTATTTCTTCAGCCCTGAGGCCCTTTACATTCCCATTGAAAGGGAGACTGTGTTCTGTATGGTCACATGGACACACCAGTTCTGCACGGCTGGACGTCCTCCTCTGATTCTTAAGCTGTGCAGGACCTACAGAGCACGCTCCTGCTTACCAAGACACTGAGCTTACTTACAGAACCAGGTTGGTCCACACAGCAAACAGGTTTAATTCAGCAGCTGTTTTCTAATATTAACAATATTAGAAATTAACAAATTAAGATAACTTGTCCAGCTTACTGTCACTCCAGGTCCTAGGCCAGGACAGGTAGGATCACTGCCATTGTATCCTTCTCCTTGGTACTCCACCAGGAAGTCTGATCTCCATGTCACATTTTTGTCTCCTCTCTAGGACAAGAGGTTAACATAACTCAGTATCCACCACACTGTGAAACAGCAGAAATTCTCCATGCCTGATATAACACTAACACTACTCACTGCTTACAAGGCTGTTTGATTCATGGTCCCTAGTTTGAGTCAGTCTTAAAATAATATTCATCCATAGGTTAGAATGTCTTGTCTAGCTGGAAGACAAGGTTCCAACCCTCAAAATATTAGTACACCTTCTTGTGAGAGTTTAAAGTGCTGTCTTCAATTTATAGAGTCATGCAGTAATAGCGAACAGGAGGCATGTGGCAGACACCACTACGTTACAGACAAGATCAATGAGGCTGTCTCTCTGTGGTTTATATCAGGCTAGTGCAACAGATGTAAAAAGATACACTTGGCGTAAGAAAAGATAAAGAGCTTTAAGAAGCAACTAAGTTTTAAGCTGTTCTATTTGTAGCTGTATTTTAAAAGACAGAGAAATACAGAAGTTTAAAGTTAATATACAGCACCATCACAGGCATATACAACAAAACAATGAGCGTCAGAGTTTTGATTCCATCAGAGTTTAAACTAGATGCCTTTTACCTGCTTCTGTCTAAAGAACAGCTTAAGGTTTGGATACAAGGCTTTAAAAGCAAAGCAGTGTTTTAAATCTGGATGATCTCCTGCATTTCCAAGTAAGCTGCCTTCAATTTATAGACTAATTAAAACTAAAAGGATCAACTGGAAGCCTATTTAGTTAAATAGGCTTCTGCTCACTTATTGCAAAGGTCAGGTTTACTTTATAAAACCACATGCGTTTTTTCCAGAGTTTAGGGTGAAACGCTAATTCTACTGAAATTTGAGGCAAACCAAAGATTTAAGTACGAGCAGTGTGCTTTTTTCTTAGGTCTATGCTGAGAAATCCTAAAGAAAAAGGGGAGGGAAGATGCAAGCTAGAAACAACATACAGACTTCAAAACAGGAATTATTACAAATGTCAGGATTCACCAAGGATGACAATTTTCTATTACAAAATGACCACAAATGTGTAGGGCTTTATCAAAACACATCTGCATTTAAACAGCATACCTGCTTTTTTCACTAAGCTATGAACATTCTGTGTGAAAATGCCATCAAGGGAAGAATCTGGGTTATGAGTTGCCCACTCTACTAAAGGAGTAGTATTCACTTTGAAGAATAACCCCTTCAAGAATTACTAGTTACTATCCCTGTCCGTTTACTTACCAACAGCGGTAATAGTGACATCCCATCCATCTGGGTCTTATTCAAGTCGTACCCCGCGATATCCAGAATAGTGGGACCCAAATCAATATTTGCAACAAGCATCTGAGGGTGAGCAAAACCATTAGTTCAGAAGTCTAGAACTGAACAGGTATAATAAGGACACTCCTGTTTTTTAAGTACTTGCAATTTTAGTTACACCTGAACATTACTTTACTCCCTCTCTATAGGCTAATGGATCCTGTAACATTACAAGCAATGGTGGGGGGTCTTTGGAAAGTGAGCTTCCCACTTTATTTCTGCAGCCTGCAATTACTGAAGTGTACTGATTCAATCAAGAGCACACAACTTTTTAGAATGAGGTCTTTGCATTTTCTACCACTCCACATATTTCATTGACACACACACACACACATATATATATATGCAGGAGAATGAATTACTACCCAAAGCTGGTAATAGTGAAACAATATTAAAAATCAAGTGGTGCTCTGATTTCACTTCTTTCTTTCTTACCTTGTTTGTCTGATTTGGTTTTATCCCTGGTCCTCGAACTAGCAATGGAACTTTGATATCAAACTCATACAGCTGCCGTTTGTCTATTGGCAAAGAAAATTGTCCTATACAATAGAAAAATGGAAAAAGTTAAATGGCTTCTTGTTTTACATTCTAAGAGTCTTGTGCTACCTAATTTCTAGCAGCCTATTTTAAGAAGTCAGAAAAGGTTCTTAACCTTAACTGCATTAAGAGAGTGGAGGATAGGAGCAGCCAAGTTCAAAGTATAAGATGTATCTTACAAAGTTCAACAGCTTAGATACTGCATTTTCAGTTGCACAACATGACAGAAACAGGTCTTTGATAGATTTTTACTGGTTAACTTTTTCATGGCAACTCTTTCTACAGAACACAGAGATCCTTCCTCCATTTCCATCCTAATTTTACATATACCAGGATAGAGGAATAGAGACTAATGCTAAAAAACACAAACAAATGAAAGCCAAACAAGCAAAAAAATCCCCAAACACCCACACAGCAATTCCAGAATGTTTTGCAACTCAAATCAGTCCTCCTCATGTCTAGTTTTCCATAGCTGCTGTTCTCATTTTAGGGAATGGTCGTACGAGTGAAACATTACGCAATTCCTGGATCTTCTACAAATATTCAGTAAGCCATAAAAATTTTACCAGTGTGATAGCCATTGTCTGATGTGTAAAAGATGTACGTGTTATCTAATTCTCCATTCAGTTCCAGTTTCTTCACTAGCTTCTCTACTAGGTCATCTACTGACAGCAGAGTTTGCCACCTATACAGAAACAAAGTAATTCATATGAGAGTATGAAGAATTTAGAGTAATTCTGACTGTAAGTGGGGTATTTGTGTTCTGCTTCAAGTCAACAGTGTATGCACTGCAAGAGGATTATTTTGCTTCCAAATTCTGAAAACAAACTTCATAGATTACTACACTGTACTGTCTGAGGCTGCAATTTAAGATAGAAATAGACTCTTTGTCTTCAGTTCTTGTTGACTTTATTCTGTGGTGTCTGAGAAAGACGTCAAAATGCTGATTACTTCTTATCTGGAGACAGTCAAGACCAATTTTGAAGGAACACAGTGGTAAAGGGTCAGTTATCTCCTGCAAGGTCACTTGTTATTAGCCCTTTATATCTAGTTTTTAATATTAAAATACAAGTGTGCCATGAATTTAATTGTCTATGTGGGATCATTTCTGCTTGAAAACTACATCAGCTATTTTGTATTACTTGTGTAATATCAGCATCCGTTATTCCAGTGTCTCTAAAGCCTTGAACAGGTACAAGATATTCTTTCCTTTCTCATCGGGTCTGCCACTGAGACAAGTGACTGTTTCTGATAAGTCAATAAAAAGCCTCCATGGACTAGTATCATGCTGAATTAGAGTTATTAAACTATTGGATCCTGTTGTCTCAAGGCTTAATTTAAGATTTAGTTGCATAATTTTACCTTCATGTTTTAGAAAGCAAGAGTCTGAAAAAAACCTGTTTTCTACTTCCAAAGAAACAAGCTAATGCCTGCTAACTCCTCAAAAATGGGCGTTCAGCACTTAAAGTTAAGCTAATGCTTGTTTCAGAACTTTTGAAGAAAATACACCTACAGGATAAAGAAATAGCCCTTTCTTTCTATTAAACACAGAGAACAAGCTGTATTTTCACCTTGTTCCCCATATCCTGTTTTAGAAAAATAAATTAAGCACCTGCTTTGACCAGCCAGGTATTCCTAAGCAAAAAGACCACAGACTGAGAGCCAAGGTTAATAAATCAATTTAGCTGGCAGATAAATCGTTCACATTTGATGGGCACCATCAGTGGACAGAATTCAAGTGAAGCAGAAGATAAGGCCATTTTTCATTAAAAACCTGTTGTGCACTGAAAGAGAAGCAGTAGAGACACCAAGCGTGATTGGTCTTTTTTGACAAATGATGGTAGCATTTGGGAGCAAAATATTTCTGAAGTCAGCATCAAGTTTCTTTGCAAAAAGTAAACAGAAAGTCAGGTCTGCTGAGAGAGATGACAGAGAATTATTAAAGGTAATTTGACATCTACTATCAGACTTACTACAACCCTTTTAAAAACACACCTTTTTTTTTTTAAAGACAATAAGTTTTGAGTAGAAATCTTAAGCAACAAAAACATTTCTTACCTCCTTCTATAAGCATCATCAAGAAACTGTATTGAAGAGTTAGTCATTGGAGTCTTTGCTTGTCGAATTAACCAGTGCTTGTTCTAAATAAAAAAGACAAAATGGTTAGGATAGAAGTACCAGCTTTTAAACCTTAGGCCAATTACAACAGAAATGTTATTTAGGGTAAAACATCCACATGATTCCTGTGAAATAGCCAGGCAGTACTATCAAACTGACCCAACTCCAGCTTTCCCTCTTGGTTAATGTAAAATGTTCATTGCAAGAATCAAATATATTACAGCTCCATTATGCTCAGCCCTTGTTGAAAAGGAAATAGCTGTGGAACATTTCAAAGCAGTTCAGGGAAGAAATTTGTGAAAGGAGCTAGGGAAGGCTCTCCTAGAGATAAAAGTTAGATAGCTTGAGACAGGTTTGATAAAAAAAAAAAATCTGAAGTATTGAGCAGAATTGTAATATTGGACTTGGTTGTCAAAGGGAGGTTCTTTTGTGACTAAGATTTGTGAGCATCGTAACATAGGCTGAGAGGCGAGGAGAAACTCCTGCATCAAAAGCAGTCAGGACTATCTAATCTATGGACAAGTGTGGACAAAAATCTGTAATGACAGCACTATCAGATTCTTGGTAGCCTAGGAACTCAGGGCTGGAGACTACTGAGGTGGGCCAAAACATTACCATTTTATTTGGATTTTTTTTTTTTACTCCAGAACAGGTGCAATTCTTTATCTGAAGTGTGATTGAGTTGCACCCCAAACTTGCAGAAATATCCCCTCGCTTCCTCCCCTCACCCATCCCCCCAAAGTGATGGTGATAATTTAAGTCATACAAAAAGTGATACTCACATCCTGTAGCACCACTGTTAACTGGGTCAGCTACCATACTAATACATGGGAAGGTCTGTTGTGAACAACCTGGAGGTTAACACTAGTGGGGAGCAGAATCAAGGCAAAAGTCATGTCAATGCAGCTTTACACTTTTTAATTTAGTAGGTCAGGAATGACCCAACTCATCACCCTCAGCCTGAGCCTGTATTTAGTTGGTCACTCCTCTCTGTAGAGCCTCTTGTTGCACAATTTCCCTCCTGTCACAAGCAAATGACTCTGAACTGGCTCAGGCTTTAGGGACTCACAATGACATGACTCACATCTCCTGCAATTATTCAGTTCTCCTGTTTTCCATTCTTGCCGACTGAAGGAAAGATTTTTGGCACAGAGACTTAATACCATGTCCAGTTTAATTCAGTTGCATTCAGGAGACTCAGGGGAGACCTTATTGCTCTTTACAACTACCTGAAACGGGATTGTAGCAAGGTGGGCGTCGGTCTCTTCTCCCAAGTAACAAGAGAAAGGACAAGAGGAAGTGGCCTCCAGTTGCACCCCACAAGGGTTGCCAAGCATTGGAACAGGCTGCCCAGGGAAGGAGCTGAGTCACCACCCCAGCAGTATTTAAGACATGTAGATGTGCCACTTATGGATGTGGTGTAGTGGTGGACTTGGCAGTGTTAGGTTTACAGTTGGACTCGATCTTAAAGGTCCTGTCCTGGTTTTGGCTGGGACAGAGTTAACTTTGTTCATAGTAGTTAGTGTGAAGCTATGTTTTGAATTTGTGCTGAGAAGGCGGCTGATAACGTACTGATGCTTACAGTTGCTGCCAGGACAGTCAAGGACTTTTCAGCTTCTCTGCTGTGTCAGTGTCTGCAGGTGCAGGAGAAGCTGGGAGGGAGCACAGCCCCAGTTACCAGCCTAGGATTCAACCTTAGGTTTAGGATTGACACCCAAACTGGCCAATAGTATATTCCATATCATGCACACCATGCCCAGCATATAGATGAGGCTCTGTTCCAAAGTGTGCTCTCTCTCTCTGGGTCACCCCTCTCTTTGGGTTGTCTTCCTCTCTTGGACACTTGAGCTCTTATCTCTTTTCTGGGATTGCAGTTTTGGGACTCTCCCTGCTCCAGGATCATTATCTGGGAATGGGCTGAGCCTTGGTCACTGGGTGGTGAGCAGTATTACTGTGTATCACTCATTTGTAGTTTAGTTATTAAAATTGTTCGTATCTCCATCCAGAAGTCTCTTCTCCCTTTACCCTTTCAATTGTCTCCCCATCCCTGGGAGGGGGGTGAGCAAGTAGCTGTGTGGTGTTTGGCTGCCAGCCAAGGTCAAACTACAACAGTCCTTTTCAACCTAAATGATTCTATTAATCTATTCAGATCTCTCTTTTACAGTAGTTGTAAAACAACTCTCTGGAGAGATGCTAAGTGTATCTCAGCAAGAAAACTCACAGCATAATCAAGATCAAACATCTAGGACTTGTGTGTTGGTTGAGAGAGGAAAAAGTAAGGAAAAACATCACAAACCCCATCCCCAGCTCAGTAGAAGTTCTTCAGACAACAAAGGAGGTAGCAATGTCACCTGTGCACCTGCCACCTTTCACAACAAGGGGGCTCAGGAGGGGCCCTCCATAAGGCACAACTGTGCTGGGTAACTCAGGCAGATAAGTCACCTAGTGCAGTAGAATCTTCCTTGTCTCTGGAATATTTTGCTTTTCCTACCTTTCTCTATAGTTCCAAAAACTTCACACAGCACCTAAACATCTTTGTGGATTGCAATAAACTTCATACTGACTCAGAGCCCTTAAATCTGCTTCCCTGCCAGTCCCTGTCAAGTCTTTCACTGAATATGTACAAAGCTGTCCATCAATCCTGCTGCCTCCCTATGTCCCATCCTCAAAGAAATTTTAGGAGTCCTTGAGACAGCATACCATATCTTGCCAGCAGAATCTGAACACAGCTGTGCTCCAATTTTGCAGGAAAAACAATGCATACAAGAGAAATACCCGACATGTATCTTTATCAGCTTCTCTCAGAACAGCTTAGATAAACCACCCATCTAGGCTAACAATAGTCCTACTTGGGAGACTAGAGAGCTACCTATCACTTGATATAGTTCATAGCTGAGGATCCTAAGCAAAAGTTAAGTGCACATCACTGGCCCGTCTGACAACAACTTAGCTTCTATTTTTCATGCAGAGATTCTGCCTAGATGGCTCCTTTTAGTACCCCTTGCCCACATACTGTATAAAGAAGCTAGGCAACATTAATTTAGGAATCAAGACTGTACGATGCAAGACTGTCTAGCAAGCATTACAACACCAATGACTTGTGGGTCTGAGCCTACATACATGTTTATTGCTATTGCAGGAATTGTGCTTGTCCTAGAAAATAGTGAAGCTCAAAAAGGAGTTAGGCTTCAAGACCACAATGCTGCCAATTACAGAAATGGACACTGTTAATAATCGTAGCTATTTTGTGTCTAGGAAGAAGGGCAGTGCTAGTCTGTTCCTATTGTGAAATCCCATAAAACTGCTGTATCCACAGGTATTAACTACCAAACATTAAGTAAGTCTGTCATTTTGCTTTGTACCATACAGGCACATGTAGAGCTTTTGCTCCACATAAGGAAGCTCCCACACTATTTTTTGGCTAGCTGCTGACTTTGCTGGTCAAGTTATTTCTGGCTCACTATTTTAAAAGCATTCAGTTACTACAGTAATGGGGCCTAAAACAAAGTTAGAAATCCTTTTATGGAGAAAAAAAAAGTCTGATTCCCATTCCTTAGTTTGAAACCTAACAGGTTGGGCTAAAGTATTTGTTGCTCCCTGCAGCCCTTTTCTCCCCTTTCATTCATGTCTTCATATCACACTGATGGGCCATGGTCATTCTGCAAGCTACAATCCTCAGATAAAAACCAAGTTTCACCTCATACTACAAGTCACAGTGACCTCAGAAGAGGCATCACTGGGCTTCAGATAGGCATTTAGGCAATGGGACCTCTTAAGATTAGGAGCAAATCTTGAAGTGAATCAGTTGAACAATGAACAGCAGCGAGTTCTATATTTTAAACAAATTGAATTAAGCCCACAAAACCTCTGCAAGTTAAATATCTTACCAGATTAACTGTTTGTGACTTTCACTTTCACTTATTGGCAGAGTAAGTAGCAGCAGATTAGTCTGAGCTAGACCATATTTCGCCAAGTTTACTGGCAGCAGAAGGTACTACCCTGTCACAAGGATATTTGTGAGTTTGTAACATTAGGCTCAGCAATTCTGGTTACAGGTTATTTCAACAAAGGTAAGTTCTCAAAGTCCTTAGTGCCCCTGGGCTCTGTGATTCATGATTTCATGAAGTCCCCAGTTAGCCTGATACATGAGCAGATGTGCACAGGAAGACAGAGCTCGTCATTCTTCATCTGAGCCTTTGTGTTGCACACTACCTATGCGTTCTGAAGATAACAAGAGCAACAGAAGAACATTTCAAAAGCTTCAGAACAGTCTGGAAAATGGACAAGGAATTAACCTTTTCCATTTATCAATCATAATTCCATAGTGCTGCCTTACCGTTTTTGCCACTACATTTTTTTATTTACAAGATGCTGGTATGCAAAAAACTCAAAGTCACAATAAACATATCTTAACTTGAAAGGCTGATTAACATAGCTAAACAACCGGTAATCATGGTATTAGCATATTCTTCTCACTGTTTACACTTAACATGCAAGTCAGGGTTATTGCCTACTGCTCTCACAAACTAGTAGAACAATCTATACAGATTCCTGCTAGTTAGCTTACCTTTCCATGAATATTAAAATTGCTGTTTCTTGGTGCACTGACATTCTGAAAGCTCTTTGCATACTGTGGAGCAGCTGTCCAAGGGGAGTGTGGTGCTGGGGTTGAGATCATCATAAAGAAAGGTTCAAAATTAGATTTATACTCCAAGAAGTCCAATGACATGTTGGCCTGTGAATAGTTTTGTGGGAGAAGAAAGTCATATCTCCAAAGGAAAACAGCAAGTATTTGAAAAATCCAAAGTAGACATAACTTATTTAGAGCTTGGTAACACTGCGAACATTTAAACTATTTCAGAAGCTTATTGCTTGCACGTTTGCAAGTGTCCAGAACAACAGCTCGTGATACAAAAACATCCCAAGTGTTCATGTTAAACAAATAATTTGTCCCATATCTCTGAACAGCTTTCTACTTCAGACCTTTGCTCTATTTAGACCTGGAAAGCTCAGAAGTTTGTGCTTATTCCAAGTATCAACAAAATCCACCTAAACTCAGTTTTCATCAAGTAAAACTGGAGCTTTCTTTAACATGGTCTGAGTCTTTCTGAGGCTCTCAGATGCCATCCCCTGCCTGACAGATCACAGTTTAGCCGTTTCAGCTGTCTTCTGAAATAGCAATAGTCCTGAAAAAGTTTTTCAGCCCCACATTTTATAGCATATACTCATTCTGTAGCATGCTCCTAATTTATAAGGGGTGCCACATTTCTGCTGAAGCCACAAGCTCTAGTAAAGGAGAGTGCCAACCTCCACTCACACCACTTCACTGTGCTTTCATTTTCATTTCAGCCTGCACACAATTTCAGGCAGCAAGTTAGAAGAGATTGTGAGTTCCATTTTGTCTTTCCCTTGCTCAGCCTTTGAAACGAAAGCTTCGAAGGTATTACTTGCAGATGAGTTCTTCACTATTCAAATCTTACAACATTTTCCTTTGCTGTCTGATTAGTATACCCCATTTTGGATATCCTTTTCTTTCTCCTAGAAGAAACACCAGACTAGGAATTCCCTCCTCTTCCTTCCTCCTAACTTCTACATCTAAGCAAATGGGGCAGGACTTTAGTTATAAAACAACAGAATTAAGGGAGGAAAAGAACTGTGTGAAGGTTGAAAACCTGGTTCAGAAATGAGCACAATGTAGGTAAACTCATACAGGTAGTCAACTTAGATTTTGTTGGCAGTTTAAACTGCAACATGTCAAGACTGCAGCAGGCAGATCCAGGTGTTCAGATTCTTAATACCAGACTTAAGTATCCAGATGCCCTTAGTCGGGACGAGAAAGCTCGTGCATCACATCAAGCAACACAGGAACTTCGCATAAGCAATTTACTCCTGTGCCCTGCCCATTGAGCAAATTCAACTCAAACACTAGGTCTGAAATGCTGAATACATATTTGGTAGCTACAGGCAGAAGGTAGAATGCAACACTCTGAAAATCGTAATACACTGCTGTATCAAGAGGTAACACACCCCAAGTAAGAGGTTTATGCAGCAATGACCTGTTGGTCAAAATGCTTACGTGCTGCTGAAGGATCAAAAAAGACCAGTATAATGCCAGTAATAGGATAGTCTCACTTCTGGCTTATCAATTCCAATCTAGCTTTAGACAAGTGTAAATCTAAATTTAATCAGACAGCTGTTCAGTACCCTAAGAAACATCAATCAGTTCTGCTCCCAGTAAGCAGCTGTCTATGTCCAAGAACCCACTGGAATGAAACTCAGGGTCTTAATGGAAGACTAAAAATCAACTGCACAAGGCAACGTCTCAGAGAAGAATTTTCCTGAGTGCTGCATGTGAGCTCCCAGCGCTACCAACTCACACACTGTAATAGCATGTCAAATTAAGGCTCCAGCTTGGTGGGCAGGGAGAACACTTCTCTCCCCCAGAAAAAACCTTCAAGCAAATACTACTTGCTAAACAGGGCCTCAAGAGAGCTAAAGTAACTCTTACAACTTCCCTTTAAGCATTTGATATCTTTGTTATGTCTCTTTACCTTAGAAGAGTAAGGAGGCTAAAAACTCCCCTGGTCAGCTACACATTTTGCTCAGTCCATATATTGCCCTCACACGCTACAGAGGATTGATCAGCCTTTGATATTTCCAAGTTAACAGTTTGATATAGTTTGAGATTACAAGATACACCATAATATCTACCAAACAAAACATGGGGTAAAGCTATTTTTACATGCTTAACTTCCCACTGAAATTTTGGCCCAGTTAATCTGTTACAGAGGTTGTGTATTGTAATGAAACACATCCTCTGTGAGGTAATTTAAGTTATTCCCTATATGCATCATGTTCCCCATGCACCACAGCAGTCTGTACAAACCTCTCAGTGAGGCTACTGGCTAGCAAACAGGCATTTGGAATCCCTTTCCTCTCCACAGCTTGCACAAACAAACCTGTCCTTTCTAAATATATCCAAAATTTTGCTTCGCTGATTAATGCCCTCCCACCATCACGACAGCACACTCATGTATTTATGCACTAATACAGCCTAACAAATTATCAGCACTACCCTTCCCCAAGCCTCCAGCATGAGACATTATCTGGTCATAAGCAGCTTCTGTAACACAAGTGTTGCACAATTTCTTACCAGTACATCTGTCAGATAATCTACACTGTAGTTCTCACCATGCCTTCGTGCTTTGCCATTTACTGAAAGAGTATAGTTGTAGTACTTTGAATTTTTCTCCTGCGAAAAAGAGAAGTTGTGTGCGTATTTATACAACTGGACATGTACATTGACTGAAATAATCAAAATGAGTTGCCAACAAGCATTTTTCAAATAGGTTATAAGCATTTGTCATAAGGACACTGCAATAATTCTTGTAACTGGTCTCCAACAGCAAAACTTATTTTAGTGCTATTGCACACTGCTTTGGCTTTACAAGTTGGGGTTTTTCCCCAGGCATCTTAGTAGAAGTAGCCTTTGTGAAGGCCAAGGATCTGATATGCGATAGAGGAAAAAAGGGAAGAAAATTTGCATTAAGTTGTTAGCAGCTCTTTGCTTGCTCTTTCATGAACAGCAAAGTTAGAACACCAGTTGGATTACAAAGCAAGCAAAATTAAGTATTTAAAAGTTTACTTACCAAAGCATACCAAAAACTCCATCCAGGAGGGACATGACCTACTCCCCCTGCATCCTCTGCTCCGTACTGAAAAAAGACAGACAGTGACTCAGGGTTTCAATTGTGATGAATAAAAGCTAGAAACTATGTTTCATATTCGTGTGCTTTATTCAACACTAATCAGAAACTGCATTAAACCAAATTCAATTTCAGAATGACAAAAAAGTGTGTATATATATATATACACGCACATAAAACCACATGTATAGTCCATTAAAGAAATCAGGGTTAAATAACTAGAAATACAGTAACTAAAAGCTTGACATTCACAAATAAAATTTAAACTTTATTCCCTGTTCTACTCTGCACATGAAAATATGCAGAGATCCTGGAGAACATGCAGTACATAATCAAACAGTGAGAGGTGATCAAAACACACATGTGACAAGACACTCTTAGGCTTTGTTCACAAGATACCAAAGAAAATTTCACATAGACCAACAGCTTCCATCACCCTCCCCCAAAAGGGGGTACAAACTTTATGCAATGCTAGCCTCTTGTCACCTCAGCACCAAATAATCTACAACAACTAACCTCTAAGCCAGCAAAAAAAAGAAAGTAGCAGCTGAATCAGTGCTAAACTCAAAACAGAGGGTGTCTTAGAGCAACACAACGGGTTTTCTCAGGGCTGCCCTCTCCCATCTATAAGGCTCGCCTAACTGCAGGGACAGGAGACTGCTGAGTCAAGGGATGCTCAGAGGAAGCAGACTGGTTTCCCTTCCCCTAGCTGCCTCAGTAACATCAGGAGAAACAAATTTGTGCCTGGCTATGAAAATTCATGTTCCGTTTTTCTGTCACACCACCACCATTTTCCACCAACAGATGGGAGGAAAATAATGCCATTAAGAACCCTGTAACTCATCTAGGTCCAAATACAATTCCATCACACAAAGACACCTGATCTTAGAGCTGTCAGCACTGAATTTTACCACTTACCATAAACTACTACAAACCACAGCTTAGTTGAAAACAGAAAAAAACCCCACCCACATACAACAGATTCAATAATAAAGTGTTGGTTAACCTCTGTAAAGAACTCTGATAATATCTGTTCTTCCAATTAATTTGCCTCAGTGGACATTTAATATTAACTCCTAAGAAGAAAACAGACCTCTGATTCAAGGGGATATATCAGTCAGGAATATTGAGACAAACCGATTTTTCTTCTTTAATGTTATTCTAAGATTATGCTTGATCTCGCACTAGCTTGACGGTGTTGTTCAATACCACAAGCCAATCATCTATCCATTCACCCCAGCCATTAAAATCATAATCTCAAAAAATGAACACATCTGAACATACTAAAAAAGCCTTTGGATTCCATCTTCCTTTCAACATTAACTTTTAAAAACATTCAGACACATACAGAACCTGATTTTAACCAAGTTAAGTTAAAAACCTGAACTTTGCATCGTATTTATCCCATCACAACAAAAAGAACTGTTCATCCAAGTAACACCATCTTAAGCATTTTGGGGACCTACCTTCAGCTACAAATACAAAAATCACTGAGCGTTTTAGAAAGGTGGACAAATGAAAATGAACTGTGTCATAGTGAAAAAATAAGCACAAAATACCTCATTCAAATACTTCCCAGCAAAGAACGTTTGATAACCACACATAGTTTTGAGCAGTGCTGGGAAGGTGTAGGGTTCTTGAATCTTCTGCCATAGCTTGCTGCTACAGTTTCCTTCCAGAGTGTTATTGACAACATGATGATTATGTGGATACTTTCCTGTTAAAATGCTAGCTCGACTGGGACAGCAAAGTGCACTGGGAACGTACTGGAAAGACAGAATGAAGAGATCCAAGACTGACATTGTAAAACAATTTTTTCTCAAAATTTATAGTTTTGAAATATCAGCTATTAGGTTGATTAAAAAGTTCACCAACATTAAAGCATACTTCTTTCTGGACACACAGAACTACATTTTAAGTATTTTCCCTAGTGAAAAGATGCACATGAAATTGGTTTTGGGTTTCTGTAGCATATGCCCTTCAACCTCCCCCCCCAGATTAGATGTGGTTCTTATACAGTAAGAAGTATCCATTAAAATACTGTTGGCCAGTTGATTTACTCCATTATTTTAGCCATGACAACATAATAGAATATAAAAAAGAGTGAAGTGGGTTTTCAGCATGCAGGAAGCTGAAAGTTTTAAGCAGCTTCTAATACTTCACATTTTGTGATAAAACCATTCAGATTACTGTTTTACTTTACAGTTTAAGGAAGTTAGCACAAGTACTTTCAGGAAGTGAAACTTTCCCTCTCAGATTCTGTATAGGACCTTCAGCTATTTTCATTTTGAGACCTAAAAGTAGAGACTGAATTTAAAAGACCCACGAACATAACACACAGACTTCATGAAACTATTACCAGTTCCAACATTTTAGATTACCTAAGATACACACTACACAAATGCACACACCTCACAAGTTCAAAGAGGTAATGCAAACACTTACTGCATTTAGGAAAGTTATTCCCATTTGCGCAATGAGAGCGTTAGTCTTCTTTAGGGGGGTCTGGAAGAAAGGCACCAAAATGAAACCAGCTAACACTTAAGGGCGCTAGGTTAAGCAGTGGAGTTGAAGC